TAATGCAAAGTGCTTTGGAGTGCCTGTGTTTGTAGATGTGAAATATGCATCAGACATTGACAAAAAAATTTTTAAAAGTTTCTAAACAAGCCTCCAGAACTGACAAAAGATCAGGGATAGGTGTCAAAACGTATTCACAAAAACTGAAAAAATGTCAATTCGACTTGTGCACAGGCATTTTGTTCATTTATCACAAAATGCATTGAAGTTAACATATGTTATTCAGGGGTCAGCAGTACAACATTTTCAGTAACAATGTCAGTATATGCATAAGTGTAATAAAAACCTACTGCACAGTCTACCTGCAGACCGTTACCACACTAGTCATCAGTGCATCTCCTTTCCTCTGGTAAATAGTGAGGGAGTTTGCTGCAAATGTGGTTAATAAACAGAGTGACAACCGATCAACCAGAAAAGAAGCTTGCAGTTAGATCAGAAACTAGTCAAAACCCATTTCAACCATCCCTGTATGCTATAATTGATCACAGAGACAATACGATGCAAGGTTTATAGGATCATTGTCAAAACGGCAAAAAAAAATAATAAAAATACTAGATAACTCTTAACACTGCATAGGAATATACAGACCAATCTTATGTTTACATTATAAATACATGTATGTTAGATGCTTGCTAACACTAAAAGTATATCCCTCTTACAATTATTTAAACTTAATATTTAGTTCCTACTCTGTGATAGGATGCCCCCTAGACTCAGTACACAAGGTGGGGGGAAAAAAGGATCCTAACTAAATGAACATCTCTGTTGGATAATGTCTCCCACCCCATGAATGAAGCTGGTGCTGAAAAGCTCCTTCAGTGACAGAAAGCTGCACCCTAAATGCACCAGGGAGTGTTATCACAGATCCTTCTTCCTAGCAGCTGTAAGATTTTATAACCATCAATGTTCCCAACAACCTCAATAAGTTGTTAGATTTATGTGGACTTTTGGACAGTTTGTATCTTAGTAAGTTAAATAACATGCTGCTGTCATTTAATTTTTATTTTATTTTTTTTGCACATCTCTGGTGCAAAATCATCTCTCTAGTTGCTGCCATTTTTCACATATCCATTACTGTTAAAATGTCCACAGCTGTTATTGATTTGTCATTACCCAGACACAGAGTATTATATTGTAAAACACTATACAATGCTCTTTTTGTTTTATTTTCCTATCTGTTATTTTTATACACTTTTCTAAGGTACACATTGTGTGAACACTTCTACTATAACATTTGCTGCTATAAACACCACAATTTTCCTATTGTGTGACATTAAAGGAATTTTACAATATAATCACTGCTTTGTGTTTTCTAGTCTCCTACTTTGCTGAAACGGAAAGCCTTAAAATTAATATATATAGATATTTCTCTCAATTTAGCTAACAGTCATGCTGTCTTTGAGAGTAGAGTTGAAAGCGGAAGCCAAAGCCCAAACATGACCAGGTATAAAAATGCAAAAATCCATGTAGAATGAGCCCACACTGGGACTTGAAAAAAGGACCTTCTTGCTGCCAGACGATTGTGCACATCACAAGTCAATCTAGCAATATTACACCAGAGCCCTGTAACCACCCCAGGTGTTTGGGTTTTTACTTTGGTTTTTATGGTCTTTGATCTTTATTCAGTATTACTGAATATTTTTT